CGAAGTTATTTAGATCAGATGAGGGAAAAACTTAGTACCATAATTGTAGTGGGATTATTTTTATTCATACATAATACTTAAATATCCGTTTGTAAACGAGAATAATAATATATTGTGCCCTCGGAACGAAAAAGAATGCAACTAACATTTTTATCAAAATGGAGTTACATATTCGGAATCAGGAAAAAAGGCTGTTGGCAATATTCACATTCGGATATTGTATTTTATATAACCTTAAAAAAGGTTATATAAAATTAAAAACCAGACAGGAATCTTTTTGTATTTTTTCCCGATTATCGTGGTTTATTTTAAAAAAATAACATTGTGTTCGTGTTTTCTATAGCTCACTAATGTGTCAATAAGATCAATTAGAGCTGTTGTCTCCATTTCAAAGGACCTGTGCCTTGACAAAATTATCGACCATCTAATTTGTATACTTTGCTGTAGCATGTCGTTTGTAGCACTTGACTTCTTTGCGACAAGGCAATACGTCAAAAAATATACTCAAATTCGATGTGCTATCTGCATTTTGCAACTGAAAATCGGACTAGATCAGGCAAAATATTCTGGTTCGGTATTTAACTTTTCTGCCACTTATCAAATGAAAGAAAGAATATAGACATGCTTTTAGAAGCCGTTTTGTTATCATATGATTATGGGAAGTGAAATGGAAGGATGAGTCAATACAATCAAAGATCGAAAGAGAGGAGAGAGAGGTGTTTACTTTCGCTTCTCTATATATTGTGCCAGCAGTGGTAACTTAATGGTATGACCTACCGCCCGCCTTTTAAGCAGAGGGTTATGGGTTCAAACCCGGGCTTGCATCTCTGGGTTTTCCGGAATTAACCTGCGAAATTCAATTTGAAATTTACCATAAACCTTTCGGTAAAGACAAACATCGTGGGGAACCTGCCCACCCTGCTCACGCGATTCATGCGTCTCTGGAAGCATACCACACCTAGAGGTGATGATTTTATATCGATTTATCGGATATCGAAGTTATAACAGGTAAAAGAACTAATACTAATTGCTATTTCGGTAACTACTCTAGCAAACCATAAAGTTTTTAATGCCTGGGTCTGTCATTTAAAAAAAATAAACAACTTCAAAAATACGTCACGACAATCGTGTGTGTTATTGTATGGGCTGGTGATGTCGGTGTTTATTTATTGAAAACATACCGTAAGTTGCGTTTTTTACGTTTACCCTGAATATAAATGTTTATAAACTATACTTTAAGGAGTAATTTCATGGTAAACGTTAGAACCACTCAAACGGAATATTACCATATTTACCCAAGTACACCAAAGATTTCATTTGTGCTTTTTAAATGCAGGATTTGCGGTGTATTACTGCATTTTATTTGAGATGTTTTTGTTGTATTACGGAGGGTATTTATTTAGTAATGCAGAATAATAATTTTTATTTATAAAAACTTGTATTTAAACTGAATCCTTTTCTAATTTGCGAAACCAAATAGCCGCCATTATGCGGTAGGATGAGCGCATCGCGTGAGCGGGTATGCAAAGCTATGTAATATTATGTGAGAAGCTGCCAATCTATACTCCCACTAATTGTAAAAGGATGCATGTGTCCAGGTGCAAAAGAAGGAGAACGAAAGATTGAGGGCAAGAGGGAAAAAGGTCAACCTAAGCGCAGTCAGTTATATAGACCAAATTAAAGAAAAAGGCCGGTGTCGTGTCATACAAGAAGGTCAAGGAGCTGGCTTATAAGAGAGACGATTGAAAGATGCTCCACCGACAAGAGTATAGCTCTGAAGTTTGATGATGAATATAATATAGTGTAACAAAGAATGGTTAATCTGGCCCGATAAATGATTCAACAACGGATAGTGGTGGGACGAAACTGCCTTCCTGGCCGTACTGTTACCATGCCGGACTGCCACACAGAGGTCCCGGGTTCGATTCCCGGGCTGGGAGAAATATTTGTATGGATTACATTTATTTCTCCCGTGACTTTGTGTGTCGTTTGTGGTTCTATGTTGTGTCCTTGGCACCCACGATACAGAATTTTCCTTAGTGCGGGGCTTTTCTTTATAATATCAAGTGTCGGAACGAACAAGTCGTGCGCCTGATGGTAAGCGACACGCCTGTCCATAACAGTTACAGTGCCACTCAGGAAATTGCAAATATCCGAGGAGCATTGCCATTGCACCTGTCACCCTAATACATACATTAACAAGACTCATATGCCTGTAATTTCACCAGCACCCTTACCCTTCAAAACCAAAAACAAGTAATGCCGACATTATTGCGTGGCGGCAGATATAGGTGTAGGTGGCAGTACTTCCCTGGACGACCTCTATCACAAGGAGCTCTACTGCTACTAACCTATGAGTGTGTGTGTTATTATAAACCCGTAACAAAATATAAATGCAGTCTGTTGTGAATCCTACTGATCTACTATGACAGGGAACCTATTGCGAAGCTCGCGTCATGTACACCCCGCGAGTCTTAGCGACAATTGACGGGTTGCTGTTCGTTGTTCTCCGTTCTAAATTGCGACACTCCAAGATTAAATCATGTTGCCCAGGGTTTTGAACCCCGTGTTTTGATATCTTGGGCAACATACCTTACGCCGATTGGCAAATACTTTCACCCCAATGGTAATCATTAGAACGCGTTCAAATAAGCCGCGCGTCTGTCACTTTTCATACAAAGTCGCGCTGCAGTCACGCTTGGTTACAGTCACGCTTAGTGAGGTGTACATATTAATTTTTCAAATTAACCACAGTGGATGAAAATTGAGTTGAAGAATTTATAGAGAATATAAAACAACACCTTGCAATATGGGATAGCAGTTCCGCCAGTTATTCCAATCGACTGGATAAAAAGGGCATGGGAAAATTTGGTCGCACTTCAGCAGCGCGACAGTCCCACTGCCGCCGCACGGATGCAGCGCGGCCGCCGCGCGGCTGCAGCGCTTCTAACAGCGTCCAATTTGAACGCGCCCTTACAATACGCTTACAACGCCCTGATACAATAATAAGAAGATTGTCTAGAGGCCAAGAGTCATAAGAAAAACCCACAAACCAATACTAAATAAAATTATGTAAATATCATAGATACATGTAACAAATGAAGTGTATGCAAAGTGCACAACTGCAATTGTTCTGCAAATAATGTTAATACATAAAACAGCATTATTAACTTTAAGTTTTAACTGACACCCCGTTTATTTACAACATACATTTCAATTTCAAGGAGATCATCTTGTAGTATCACAACAGATTTCGTAATATGTTTATGACTTGTTTTGTAATATGCAAACCTATGTATATAGTGTACAAAATATTTATCACTGTAATTGTTTTTTTTAAATTATTTTATTTTAACAATAAATTACTTTTAATTGCAACTAAAATATAAAAAACTAAAAGATTACGGAACTTGTTGTTGATTCTAATTTTTAAGACGTAAGTACTGCGTTAGACAAAAGCTATTTCAATAACAAGACGAGAATACTGTGATGAACACTTTATATTTTTTAATTACGTTCACAACCTGTAGGTATAACTAAAATAATAATGTGACCTCCGAGCAATGTGTAGGCATTAATGCTCGAACAGGCAACCGTTGCCTTACTTATCTTATTAGTCTCTGCTAGTACCCCCAAATTAATTTCGTTGCAGTCTCTACTCAGAATTCATGTAATTAGTGTGGATATATGGCACATTGTTATTATAGCGGCTGAAAGCGGTACGGCACATCGTATTGTAGGCTTATAAAGATTGACAAATCGCCGCCTTACTTTCTCAAACTCGTATCTTAAACAACAAAGTTATTGAAATGCAAAAACTGGATTGTATATAGAAATTTTGCAGGCTGATTTCACATTACATTTCCTTCATATTCACACGTTGGCTTTTACCTGTTCTTAAAGTAATGCATCCAAATTATCACCCATGATAAGACATTTAAAATAAATAGAAAGTTTCGCCATCTCCTGAATAATACTTTTATAAGATACGAGTTCGAGAAAGTAAGGCATCGAAACGTAGATTTGTACACTCGACGATGTAACGAAAGTGTCAAAGAAAATTTATTTATAGCTGGCTAACGTGTGCCTAGAAAGTAAAGATAAAATGTAACTAACTTGTTCGGGAGGTATCATAGGTGGTGTGGAAAACAGTAGAAATGAAGTCTTCTTTTGTGTAAAAAAGGCCAATACAGAGTTAAACCTGAAACCATCGTGCTCGACAAAACATGCGATATCGAACAGTCAAATAAAATTTCGCCAGATAAGAAATACGAACACTAGACGTAGCCTTGATAATGATTTATTCATATCGGACGCAAAAGCGGTCATAAAGAAAAAGACGTACAACATAAGTATTTATATAACATAAACAAATATATAACTGCCGCGATAGAGATGGAGAATATAATTTCAAATGACTGACTTGTGACGAGGAATGTGATTATATATTAAAGTTCAGAATTGATTCCACAAACTATCGCGATGTTTTGTTGACTTACAAATCGTTTAACTGAAATAATCCTTAAAACATAAACTCAATTTGTCTCGCTTGACGTTGAAGAATCTCATTTCGTAAGGTATTCGGAGTATTTCTAAATTTCGTACCCCACTTTTATAAAAGTCTTCGGATGTAGAATGGTATAATTGTTGACCGTTGAAACATAATAGAATTGAAACGGAAAAAACAACACTCGGGTATTTGTTTTGCACACCAAAAATCTGTTCTGCTTTAACAATACCTAGCAAAACAACAGTAACTTAGAACAATTTCATTTAAAAAATAGGAATAAAACTAAGAAGACAACAATTGAACAAATCCTACGAAAGGCATTGTATTCTTTATTTAATTATAAAAAATATCAAACTGTTTTCGTTAATCATCCTAAAAAATGATTAGACCATAATGACGCTGCTATATAATTTTATGTCGGAGTGCGTGAAGCGACGGAACACCCACCTTGAACACTGGATGTATTAAATTCCTTTTCAAATTTACTTACTTCTAGAACTCAATGCGACCTTCTTAAGAAGTTTCTTGAAATTTGTATAAGTAGTGTTGCTGGTTTCGTCGAAAACGTAGTTAGGAACAGTTATATGACTTTTCTTCCGTAAAACTGTGAACATTGCGCTGAGGGTCATGTAACACAGACTATTGCCTTTACCGCTTGCGGGATCGTTGTTATGGTACATCATGCTGATTCGGTTCCAATTGAACTCCTGTAACAAAATACACCGATAAGAATAACGTTGCAAACAGTCTCGTAAAAGAGAATTACAAATCCCGCTTAAAAGATTTTTTGCTAAAATGTTGTACTATCACCAGGCACAATCTTTTGGAAAAAATAAATGTGAATTAAAGTAACTTAATTAACAAACAGTACAAACAGGAAACCAAGGAAGAAAAAAAAACAAAGTGCGATAAATGTGTGTATTTTTTATAAATAATAACAAATATATAATAAAAAAGATCAAAATTTTAGACAAACCCTTTTTACGGGCTTAAATAATTTTAAGTACTTTAATGGCTATAGTGTAGGACGCAAAGAGAAAATAATATTGTTTTTTCAAATCACCTTCTAGCAAATTCAGTTTACGTTTTTTTTCGGAGGTTTTTATAGGTTAAGCCCTAGACCACCACGCTGCATGTCTGGGTTGGGGACTTCAAACGTGTTTCTAGGGTTTTAAACCTTCTTCGACGTGCAAATTTCATCACGATGTTTTCCTTCAATCTTCTTTTGCTCATGATAATAAATTCCAAGAAACTCAAAGGTGCTAGCCCGGATTCGAACCCATGGCTTCTTCTTGAGAGGCAGTAGGTCTGTGACGTTGTGACCTCCTTACACCGCCATCCCACATTTTTATCGCCTTTTCCTCGGTTCCTGGTTTTTGTTTATTTTGAATCGTTCTTAAATTCGTTTGCCTCGCCATTCTGATTTTGTTTCGTTCCATCGCCACTCCCTGTTCGCTGCCGCGATAGAGCAGGCAAAGGAATTTCAGAACATTTTAAAACAAACAAGTGGCCAGGAACCGGGGAAAAGGCGATAAAAAGATGGGATGACGATGCAAGGAGGTCACATCGTCACAGGTCAAACTATTAAGCTACCACGCTTTATATTTACATATACATAAGGAGCCAATCAAATATATAAAAATCTTGCGAGATCATTATCCACAACACTATAACGTAGCACATTTATCTCCCCTTCTCAAGCCTCAAGTTCAATCTCACTCAAAGCTTACTCAAATTCGGCAGAAATCGTTCGATTCATTAGGGCAGTCGAAGCACGTACATCATTTACTAAAGCCTTTCTCTTATTTTTTCACATCGCAGCAAACTCGTTAGCTGATTCTTATTTGTAGATTTAGAGAACCATTTACGTTAGCTAAGAAGCTTCAGTGGTCGAACCTATCTAACGTTTAAAATAGGTAAGTACCTAATCATAACCATTATAATAAAATAAGACAATAGTTAGGTACCGGCCACAGGCATTGTAACTTATAATAACACAACAACGACACCCGATGGCACGATGTGTGTGAATGCTTGATACGAGTATTTTGTAAAAAAATAAATTATTTCAATTAATTTTTCCCAATAATATTTTACAACACTGGATTGTATTTGAATTCATAAGATCTTTAACCACTCTCAAAAATTCTTCAATTCCAAGACAAATTTATATTCATTCTACGAGATTTATGTATGTAGAGGTATCGTCAGTTTAATTGCACGAAAACAAAAGAAAAGCGACATTGAAAATTCCACAACTAAACAAAAAGTAAATAATAAGACATACAAAAACAATATAAAAATTTACATGCTGCTACACAAGAAACAGAACACAACATCTTGGTGAGTAATTTACCTCCAAGACTTTCCGAATAGCATCACCGGCTTGAGTGTAGCTGCCCATCATTCTGGTCAAGGTCTGATATTGTTTCTTGTGAAAAAAAGCTTCGGCCTGAGCCCCTGCAGTAAGCACTGGTATGCCCCAAAGACCAGCATACCTCGCTACAGGTGCTATAACGTATTCACACCCTGGACCGATGAAAGCGTCTGCAATTTTACTTATATTTTAGTACAAAAAAAAGATTGTTCAAATTTCACATGAACTAATTACGATTAATAACTACAAACCAGTTTACCTGCAGATCCATTGACATAGAATTCAAAAGCAGCCAGTGGCCCATTACTGGAAGAACATTCTGTGTCTCGATAGTCCACTAAAATTTTCCATCCCGGCAAAGGACCATCGGGCTTCGTCACGGCTGGGACCGCCATTTCTAATATAGGTAATACTTTTACTAACGAAAACACATGATTTGGATCAAATGGTAAAAGAACACCCAACTTCACTGTCTTTTCCTTAAACCAATTGAATCTTGGTCGTAAATTTGTGTTCACTTTCTTAATGTAAAAAGGGTTTGCTGCCAAGTCATGAGGATAGCCTACCGCACGTGAATTGTCAAAAGCATAATTTGGAACACTGATACTGTGCGGGTTTTCTGTGATATTACTGACTAAATCTTCTTTTTTGTATTCATCATAATATTCAGGGCCAGTATATTTATAAATTTTGTCGCCATCAGTTGTTTCTCTTTTCGTCGAAGCCCGGCCTTCACGAATACTTTTTTCATTGACCCTATCTCCATACTTATATCCTTGCCAAAGTCGCTTATCTCTTATATACTCATGCCCTCTGTAGGCGCCGTCTTTTTCTTTAAATTTCTTTATATTTACATCACTAACATCACACTTAATTATCACATTTATAAAACATACATAAAAAACTAGGAATGAAAATAACATTGATACTTCTAGCTTCCTCAATGTTTTACTTTTAATCGGGTATGTTTGAGCATTGTCCATAGATTTATCAAGCTGTGTGAGAGCATCTTTTGCATACTGTTTTGATGTAGTTCTTCCAGCACGCCTCCTCTTGGTGTAGACTCGATTCTCATGAGGTCTGTTTTTGAACCTCACCGCCCTTGCAAGATTTAATGGGAGAATCGCATAAACGACCTCCTCTAACATTGTATCATCAGTTTATGTCATTTTAATGGATTACTTCGCTTCGCCAATACATAATACTGATTCCTCTAGAAACAACACAATTTCACTCAGTTATGAATGCGATTACCGTTGATGTTTTGTTTGCCAGACGTTTGAATATACAGTTTAGTTTGTTGAGATATGAATTATTAAATATTTACAAAAATTCTTCGTTTGAAAATTTTGAAGTATAGTAAGTCAGAACTGCATTGTACTGTAAATGTTGCACAAGGTCAAAGACGACATCAGGTACAACTAAAAGTGCTATGTAAACTATAGCTATTTGTTGAAATATTAAAAATTTCTTACAGTAACACTGCTGTCTAAAATTGAAAACTGCTTTTTCACTGAGGAAGATTGAAATTTTAATTGCCAAATATTCAATATTGCTTATTCCATCTTCAGGTGAACAACTCTCTACCTCGTAGTTACACTGTCGTACTAACATAAATCGTATGACAGTTTATCGAGATTATATGCCACCGTTGATGCGTGACATCAGACTTAAAACATCGTACGTTCATTCATAGTTTTGTAATGTACCACATAGGTTACTTCGTCGGAATTTAAACAAGGACGTTCTCTGATTTCTACTCGTGTCTACCGATTATGTAAGCACCCGAATTATTTAAATAGGATTCGGAATAAATAGTTCGGTTTATTTATAGATTATTAAAATTGTATTAATGTTAATGTTGTTACGTTATAATATTAAATGTGTAATTATGAAACAGGAAGTGATTGAGGGTGAAAAATAATTTATCCTGTCACCAATAACGTTTGAGCTTATTTTTGAACACACTATAACTGGCAATGAGGATATTGATACACATATTGGTCATTCGGCTCTAAGGATAGTAGCAATAAACATCGTCAACAAAGCAAGCCATTACTACTATAATAACACGCAATGAAATGTATTTTTAATGGCCTATTGTCAAACAATTTCGGGTCCATAATAGTCCTAAATAATACCCCATTGCCTTCATTATACAACAGCCCAAATCTTGTGATACCAAAACCATGTGTCGCACGCACCTCGATCGTGACTCCAATTCAGGCAAAGAACTTTTATTTATGGTGACCTGACCAAGAGCTGATTGTTGATGTTGTCTTTAAAAGTACCTCTGGGCTTGAACAATAATAAAGGTACGAACGTTGATACTGTTATTTTATCGTACTTCCTGATAACTACCAGGAAGTGTAATAAAAGGTTTGACATTGATTTGTTTACATACTGACCCTTGAAGAAAAACGTACCTATCCACTTGAATTTTACTTCATACGTGTAAAATCTCTTTGTAACAATTTTCCATCTGTACATGTAACACGTAAGTTATGTTAACATTGTAGTTACTTCAAAAGAGCAATGCCCATTTTGAATTTCGAAATTTTGTAGTCGCGACAATCGTTAATTTATATTCATTTTAAAATATGTTATCAAATAATATGACTTTTATTCATAAAATTATGAATTAAGTTTGAAAAAAGAATTAGATTTTTTAAAATATGTATTGCATATTAAAGAAATTGTAAATATTTGGTTTTGAACATAGAATAGCTTATATTTTATTTTAAGCATCGTTTACCGTTGCCATGAGTCCTCCAAATATGAACAAAATTTTCCTTAAGTTGCATTTGACTCATAACTTCAAAATTGTTATAAAAATCTAGAAGGAAGTGTCTCAACTTTGGATACATTAAGTATGCCAATAACGACAACTATACTATATATATAATAAAACGACATCTAATATGAAATATCAAAGCCTTAATTATGATAAAAATCACACGCAAAATAGGCGCTTTGTCGTCGAGTTGCGGATACCAGCCCGTTGCACCAAGTACCAAGTATGATAAAAATAATTGTTTAATTAATTTTTTTTTTTTAAATTTAATTAAAAACGCGTTTAATTTACTGAAGTAATTTAAACAAAATGTTATCTTTTTTCTAACTCATTCATCTACCGTAGTGAATCTGAGTTTTATTCATATGTACCCGACTGTACCTCCCATAAAATAATTATTAACTCTGTACTACAATGTGACATTAATGTTAATTACATAACCTCAGAAGACTTCGTGTGGTCGAGAGTTGTACCTTACCCATTTACTTTGAAAAAATGTATTGTTTTATATGTGACAAGCAGATGACGCCACTCGACCTGATATTAAATGGAATCCAAATGGAAAGGAACCTAATGCATATTGATATAATCACTGCCCTAGCTATCTCCACCCAGCATACCTACAAGATGCCTATTCACGCTTCGTTAGAAGGACTCCATAACGTAAGTCGTAGGGAATACGTGCGCTGGAAGGAAGTTCCTTTATTGATAGGGCGACTGAGAAAGGTGCCACCAAAACTTTTAGTTCGTGATGGAATAGGGCAAGTTTTAAAATGGTGACAACGGAAGCTAGCACGCGTGCTTTGGAGCAGAAAACGCTGCTTTTCAAGAATAATGGCACAACCCAAAATAGTTCACCGAGTTCCTCTTTTGACAAATTTTGTTGTGAATGGGACATGTGATGGTCTACGATATGACATTTTTGCGCGGCAGATACGTCTCAGTTTTTGAAGCCATCTTATTGATGAAATGATGGTTTTGAGATAGGCCACTATTCTAGAAAGCCATCGAAAAGGGACGAGCAGGATAAGGTTGAATAACTCTTCAGAGTTCTCGTCATGGTACACTCGATAGAAGGCGCTAAGCTAAGATGCAAGATCTCTACGCAGTTACAGAGGTTTAAGGTGGGATGAGACCTCTTCATCGCCAATACTTCGTGAGGCGCGACTCTGCAAAATGTCAGTATCCTCCTATTATTAATAAGCGTTAAACGTCCAATTTTTATTGAAATGTATCAGTTTTGTCTGAGAAACGTATTTAGAAAAATTCGGGATGGGCCCTTCCCTAGGTATCTTTCTAGATACCCTGTGATGGTGCTGGCCTCCTTCATCGTGATCCCACCTTTTTATCATCCTCTTTACTGGTTCCTTGTCACTTACTTACTTTTAAAATTAATTAAAATTGAATCGTTCTCGAATTCCTTCTTCCTTCACTATTCTTACGTTGGTTCGTTCCGTCATGACCACCATTAAAATTCTCAAAACAAGATTACGTGGACATAGGGCATTCTCAAATTTATTTATTTATTCTCATATTCACATGATTTACTGTTTTTAAAGATATACGTATCATAGCATAGGACGAAGCTTAGGTAGTGTAGCGAGAGACCCTTTAAAGCATAAACTGGGAATATATTCATAAATAAATATTTATTACGTATTTTACATGTTGTTTTTTTGGAGGCTTTTTCTAGAACTGACAAGATGTTCTTCTTTTTTCTATCCTATTTTTTTAAATACATTCTAAACACAAATCTATATTCATTCAGCCAGTACTTCCACTCATAGAGTAGAGTCTAGACTACATCCCTCTTCCTCACAACTGAAGGGGTGAACATCCCTAGCTGGCGCCCTACCTATGGTAGGCAACTGACTTAAGTGATCAGCCTTTACTATAGGCTAGCCACACACTGCTCGGAAGCTTCTACCTTACCAACAAGCAAGCCACCGAGGCTGTGGCTTTAGTTTGCCAAAAACCTATCTAAAAGGACAGACCATGACCACATCCTGATCACACAATTTCAAAATATAATTAATCGTTAGCTATCCTAGCTATTTAGGTAACCTATCCTAACTCTTTATTTCAGCTACCCTAGCTTGGCTGAATATTCCTAACAAATGCAAAAACATCACTACTAGAACTTCCTAAATGCATCACTAATCTTCAACGTGCACGCTGCTACGACGACGACACAGGCTTGAGCACCCATCGGACGTCCACTGGGGAACATCAATATTGACTTCCCAGCTGCCTTAGTCCTCGTCCTGCAGCTATCCACGTTCCACCTAACTTTCTTACTTTCTTTGAACAAATTAAAACACCACGCAAAATATCCTAACAACATTCCCTAACACATATGATATGGCGATATACCATATGGAGGATTCCTAATAATTAAACAAATATATTTTCCTTGAATGCAGACAGTTCTTGTTCATCTGGGAGAGTGACCACGAACTATGCACTCACACAGGACAATATACCCATAAAAAAAAGTGAGTAATATCTATCCAAGTCGGTAGTCCATCCTCTCCTCCCGTCCTTCTAAGTCTGCATTTGCCGGAAAATAACAACTTCCATCAAAATATTCGTCACAATGTCATCATAGCTTCATATGAAAACAAATATAAAAGATTAACAAACCTACTAGAAACAAAAAAACATTAAATTACCTTTTCATTCCATTCACATGGACTAGATCCTGCCTACCCGATCTATTCCTATTTACTCTTACTATTCTTCTCACAATACAATTAACTCTACTCAACCGATCTACTACCCTATACGGCCCTTTAAACAATCTAGCTAATTTTACACTTCCGTTGGAAACTCTCATAGGACAATATGACATTACCAAGTCTCCTGGCTGATATACAATTACTTTTGCTTTCTTATCATAATTTCGCTTCTGTTTTATCTGCACCCTCACTATTCGTTCCTTAACCACATCGATCAACGCTGCTTATTTTGCAATCTTATCTTGCAAGTTCTCCGCAACATTGACATAATTAATCCCCAATTCCATATCTGACGCACATAAGGATTCTCTACCGAACAAAACTATATATGGTGACACCCCGATACTGCTGTTTATTAAAATTGTATGCGAAATACACCAATGGTAACATGCTACACCAATTCCTTTGTTCGCCTCCTATATATTTCGCTAACATTCCTAACAGCGTCCTGTTAAATCTCTCACACAAACCATTGCACTTCGCATTGAATGCCGTAGTATGCACCATAATCGCTCCAAAATCTCGCGCTGTCTCCTCTACCAAATGAGAAGTAAACACTGATCCTCTATCGTTTAAAACTTCTTTTACTCCGCCGTACCTTCAAAATACCTCCGACACCAAAAAATCGCATATTGTTTCCGCTGCCACCCTGGTTACGGCCC